ACAAAAGAGAAACCCTGATAAAAAAGCCTAAAAACACGCCAAAAATAACCCCAAACCTCTGCTTGAAGAGTACAGCAGGCTACCAGTCCGGGGTTGTGTCAAATTTTTTTTTCGTCAGCCCAGGTTCATGATCAGGCCTAGGGGGCCCAAAAGTGCTTGCATCTTTTGGGCCCCCTCTAACAGGCACACAAGACATTGTAACGATCTGGACACAATCAGAACTAGAACTGAAAGATTTAGAAACAGTAGCATACCTTTCCTTGTAAGACTACTGAACAAGAACAACAATCTGTCATGACACGGTATATGCTATTGTAAATACTTTTAACAATTTTGATGTTTTTAACCGCTTGACTATGATCGCCACCTATTGTAAATACTTTTAATAATTACTGTTTTTAACTGTCTTTAATAATCGCTTTTAATATTTGTGCCAACCGTTTTTAACAATTTGTAATGCGGCAGATCAATTCAGGGCCCTACGGGGACCCTGCTACTCTGTACAGCATAGTATGAAAGAAATAAACCAGTATTATTATTATTATATATTATCAAAAGTTAACATTGTTATGTGCCTCAGGTGGTGACAGTATTGATAGAGACATAGGTTACTGTATTTTGCCTTATTTTGACAAACATTACCTTCGCCAAGAAGGTTATGTTTTCAGAGGCGTTCGTGTATGTGTGTGTGTGTGTGTCTGTAAACACGATAACTTGAGAAGGCCTTGAGGGATTGTCTTGATACTTGGTAGGTGGGTAGGTCTTTATGAGACCTCAAAATGATTAGATTTTGGACCCCCTAGCGTCTTGTTATGGTACTGCAGCTGAACTTCCGGTTTTGATATCTCATGATCTAGACATGCTAGGGTAACGAAATTTGGATGGTAGGTAGCTCTTGTGCTGGGGAAGAAGTGACGTGAGTTTGGGTCACCTAGCGGCTTGCTCAGGAACTGCAGGGCTACATGTTTGAAATTATTCAAAAGAGGATAACTCAAGAACCGGTTGACGGATCGTCGTGATTTTTGGTATGTAGGTAGCTTACGTGATGCTTGATATAATTATGTGACAATTATCCAAATATGGATGTAATTTGCATAATTTATGGGGAAATGCTATAAATCAGCTGTATTCCATGATAGGAATATTGAAGCTTGTGAAATTGGTAATTGAGAACAAGAGAAACACAGGCAGATATTGATTATGTAAATGAAGACTTAATTTGCATAATTAATGAGAAAATTTTATAATTATGTAATGATAAGTGCCTGGAATTTCATACTTGTGATATTTGAAACATAAGTGAAGGTGAACATCATTAAACATAATGTATTCAAATCAGGACCTCATTTGAATAATTTATGAGGAAATACTAAAATGGCATTGTTTGTTAATATAAGACTGTCCTTTGGTTGAGAATATGATAAAATGATATAATTTATGAAAATGAGGATCCTATTTGTTAAATCAGGGGGGAATAATCGATAATTTGGCAGTCATAAAGATTAACACCAATTGGCGAAGGTATGAGATCGGGGAACTCTAGTTTAGATTTGTTTTTGTGTCTGATGGTTGTCAGACGATTAGACACAAGCTATTAAGGTCTTATTACTATATTAGCCGTACCAGAATATGTATTGTAAAATGTATTCCAGTTACAATCTCCAGTGATTATGATGACAATGATACATTTTACATTGTGTCGAAAAAAAGTCACTGATATTGTGGAAAAAGAACAAAACAATGCAAGCTTCACTAAATGTCAACCCATATATCACAAGCCAGTTTTGTAATTTCCTCGTTATGTTAGTAACGAGGAAATTACAAAAGTAATTTCCTCGTTAAGGGCATGTTCGCGTAAATACGGGTAAATTTAACTTTTTATCATACAGGATATAATGACATGTTAAGGGTGACAAGTTGGTATGAATTTTCCATAGAAAATGTTAGTGTTTCATTTTAATAGTTTTCAAGCTTTTTATCATACAGGATATAATGACATGTTAAGGGTGACAAGTTGGTATGAATTTTCCATAGAACATGTGACAAATTTTCCCGGTACATGTTAAACCAAGT